TGCACTTGATTTGCAGTGGCATGCAGCTTCAGCCGTAGGGTCTAGCGTCTATGCCGGTGACTTGGTTATTGGCCCGAGACTGCCACCTTGGTTAGATTGTGGTGGGGTTTGTGCATATTGTGTTCAGGGTGTTGAGGGTTCAAGTTAGGTGTGCAGGGTTGAGGGTCCCAGGTGTGCTCAAGGGTTTCAGGGGTGGTGGCCGTAGCCTTCAAGTGAGGCTTCAACTTCCTCGTCCTCTAATAACGAATCACATCTCCTAATTGCCGAACTTTTGAGCTGTGCGACTTGCCTGTTGACTCTTCGCTGCCATGGGCTATGGGCACTGGAGAGACCTCTATCATCAGGGTCGTCGCGGCGGGCACAACCGCCACAGGGCGCTGGCCAAGCCGAAGGCACGGGGTTGTGTAGGGCAGGTGAGAGTTGGGGCCTAGTTTAATTTAGTGTGTATAATACAGTAATGGTTGGAAATTACAGACAGGCGGCCCCGGCTGCTGCTGCTTGGAACCATTTGATTAGTTCCTTTTGTTGGATAAGTGACACTAGTAATTGTTCTTTACCGCAAGTCAAGCACCAAATCATAAACTCCAAACTTCAAAGGTGGTACCACCTCGGCCGCCTGCAGATGCAGCTGTCGCTGCTGCTTTGCATATGGCCTATGCCTTCGCCCAGGTTTGTTCATGGAAGTTCAATTTCGGACCCTGTAGTGCCCTAGCAGCCCTAACACCGAACCCAGTAGTAACATACTTACTCGCATCTTGCTTCCCTGATTGAGGCGGTCAACGAGGCAGAGGCACCGGAGGCGGCGGCACCTGCGCAGCCAGTGAGCCCTGGTGCTCTCTCGAGTTCGAGCAGTGGCGATGCTGATGTCCCGGCGGTGCCGGGGCCGGCCGAAGCCGCGGCGCCGGCCGAAGCCGCGGTGCCGGCCGAAGCCGCGGTGGTGGCTGGGAATGAGACTTGGGCTCAAGCTGCATCGAGCTTTTAATTATGATGCTTTGAGGCATGTTCAGTTGAAGTGGGTTCTCTTATGACAATGCCCTGGGCTGAGGACAACAGCATGCGCATATATCCCATTCCCAATGTGGTGGACCAGGTTGAGCTGTCTGGCGGTTGGTTCTACGTTCGGTCAGCGTCTGGAACGGAGTATTATGTCAATCCTGAAGGCCAGGTCAGTACGACACGTCGCCCAGTGCTGATGCACAGAATCTCGCGGACACCATTGCCGGGCGAAGAGGCTGCGTTCCCATATCAGCTGTGGTCACGATATCTGCAGGAGGGTCCGGATGAGGAGAGATACTTTTGGTACAGTCCGCAGACTGGTCGGACGGCTCCTTTTTCTGCCTTCGAGCCTTGGACTGGATTCATCAAGACTATAAGAACATCCTTTGAGGCTCTCGTACACAACTGAATTTATAAACTATTCAGCCCAATGACCAACATCTCAGGAAGCCGAGATGCGGGTTGCGGCTGAACAGTGGCGGCTCCAGGAGCGGGCGCGGCGGGAGGCGGAGGATGAAGCCGTGAGGGTATACGTAGAGGCCAAGAAGCGGCAGCGGCGGGGGCGTTGATTAATAGCATAGCAGCACCTTAGAGTCACTATAGTGCATATTATTTCAACACTGCTGTGGCAGCTGCTTCAAGGGCCTCTTGGAGTCTCACCTGGTTGCCTTGGCAGTGGCGGCAGATGAAAAAAGCAATATTTGTCGTCGTTGCCTGTGCTTCCTCACTGCCCTGGTTGTGCACCGATTGATTTCCTTTGCCGTGAGGACGCTTTCTTCTGCGATCATTTGGCTTTCGTGCTATCCTCAGCTTGCCGTTGCAGCCGCTGGTAGGTTGTCGTTTAGTGCAATGATTCGGGATGCAGCGTCATGGTGTGTAGTCTGATCCTTCGGGCGAGTTGATTGCATTGAGGTCGCAACACCGGCTACATTGGGCATGCTGCTATGGCAGCTATGGAGATGCCTGGGCCTTGTCGTGCCGAGATTGTGCAGCTTAAGACTTGGATGTAGGAGGTCCGCCGTTGGTTCTTTGTGACATGTGGTTGGGATTGCCCTTTGGCACAGAATTTTCCATGAGCTCAGTTGGCACCCAACTGGTTAAAGCGCTGATTGGTGGCAATATTCTATGGATAATAGACTCATAATGGATATTAGCCGGTTCTTGGTTTGGGGTTCAGGTCTGGGATTTCAAACTTAAGCAACTTGTTCTGAATTTCACTCTTGCTGTGAGGGGGGTGGGATATCGATGCGGGTCTTTCTGAGCAGTATTCGTCTGTCTGATCCAAGCCAGCCCCAGAGACCCTAAACATAAACAGAAAGTTTAAGCCCTTAAGCCTGGATCCTAAACCCTAGATCCCAAACTGAGGCTTGTCCCAGTTGCGAGAACATAAATCCCAAATTGGTAAACACAATTAAACCCTAAACCTTAATAAATACCTGGAGTATGACTGTGCAGCTGATGAGCAATGGTACCGACCCAGTTCAAAGTAGGCGAATTCGGCTAGGTCCCTTGTATACCGGTTGGCTGCGATTCTATACTGAAGTCATGCCTGCAGCCTGTCAGTATAGAAGGCACACCGGTGGGTATAGTCTCCTAGTATCATCATTATGGGCATTATGATTAGAGCGCCATATACACTGGTAGATGTGTCAGCTATACCGGAGGCTATTGCTCTGTGATTTCATACATATTTCTGTTTGAGCAGAGTAACTCATGTTCATCTCGCTCAGGCCCGGTGCATTCGACGGCTCGGAGTCCCAGCTCTCGCATTGCTGGGTTTAGGAGTTTAGGGGGTTTGTCGTCCCAACCCCTGCCTTTTCTTGTCCGCGTGGTTTGAAGGGCTTGGTTTAGGTTTGGGGTATAGCTTGGTGGTGTTCGTGTCGGTGGCGTTAGGTCGGTTGGGTTTGGAGGTTAGGGTCGGCCCTCCTGCTTTTCATGCTCAGGCTGCAGCTCGAAGCTTTCGACGACAGCGTGCTGAGCATGTGCCCGGTGCCATTTGTCGTGCTTATTTGCAACCCTCAACCCTAATTTCTGAACCCTCCAACCCTAAATCGGGAATCAAGCCGTGCCTGCTTTGTGTGAGTGTGCGAGTCCAAATCGGGAATCACATTCGGAAGCTAGCTTGTGCGATTCGGCTGCTGCTTCATCTCCGAGGGTCGTACTTAAGGGTTAAGGGTTGAACCTGATCCTAGCCTGCGCGATTCGGTAGGGTTTGGGATTTGGGGTTCATCATCGGTCTCGGACTAACTCCTGCTTGCCCGTCCGTCCCTTCGACAGCAGGGCTGAGGGCTGTCTTTCCAATACTGTTTCATTCGGCAGGGCTTAGGCATTCCCCGCACAGGATTCGGATCATGGAGACATGCATGGATCATCGAGACATGCATGCAATGGCAGTCAATCCAAGAATGCTGTAAGCCGCACATAGTATTCCTCTAATTGTGCTCTCGCCAACGTTTCACACAATGGATACAGAGGATGCTCCTTGGAGTGAGACCAGCCGGCTGTGCCGCCATCATCTCTTGAGATGCCAGCGTGGCCATGCCAACTGTGTGCGGTGCTTTTTCGCTGCAGGCCCGAGCTGCCACAGCAGCACATCAACCGGGTTTGTTAAACTTGTGATTCAGGGTTCTTATCTTCCCCTGGGGATACTGGTGCTTCCCGACATCGGGGCATTCGTTTAATGAATTGGTGATCCTTCGCCCTAGTATCAAAGGTTTTAGACTTTAGCCTGCGTGGCAGGATACCTGGGAAGATTGCGCAAGAAGTGCCTGGACTTGGGAGACCCATGTGCAGATCTGGCCTGGATGCAGAAATGCACTTTTATTCATCCGGTGTCAAAGAAGAAACATAGTTACTTGATCACAAAACCTGGATGCTGGGACGACGAAACCACTTTTGGCGTTGGCTGCTACGTTTGCCACAGTGCTCAGCTCAAGTGCAATTTTGCCCGGCTGGAAGTGTCCTCGAGAAATGC